ATCGATATTTCGGTAATATATCGCCATCCTAGATGCGTTTGAGGAGACACTATTAGCGCTATTTGTGTCAATTTATCCTTGTTTTACATCTAATAAATAACGAAGATAGAATGACAGAGTAGTGTTAATATAGTGTCTCTCCGAATTCTCACCATTAGTCGACACTCAACAGGACAACATTCAAGTGGTTGTCATTTTTTATTACTATCACTATTTTTAAACTGGATAAAGAAAACATTTTTTTTCTGAATCTTGAAAACGGTTTTAGATATGAAAAAATAATTTAAAAAATACTTTACAGTAACATTTCGAAAAGCTTTTGAAGTAAGCTACAAGAATATGCAATAAGAAATGGGAGATTTAATTTAAGAACATCGATCACATTGACCTAGCCTTGAAAAGATCACTCAAGATCAAGTCCATATTTTCATCATCTGTTCCTTTTAATGTTTTACAACTTTTATCTAAAATATTTTTTTTATATCTAGAGCTGTTTCTAAGATCCAGGGACAGTCAAACTTTAGAGACATCTTTTATATAATACTCGCCGATCAGCATTGCCGCAGCCGTGACTAAACGATTAGCGAATGCCGCCGATATATATGTATATGTGTGTATATATAGGGAAAGGTCGCCGATATCATCTGAAAGGATTGTTATACAATTATATCTATCTTTATGAAAAATCGTCTATGTATAAATCTGATAGAATCAAATTTAATTTTGCATATAAAATACTGAGATTAAAGTTAATTGATTCGTATAGACACCTAGATTATACAAGGTCGGAATTATTTATAGTATTGTAGACGATTAACTAGTTAACAACGTAATATATATTATATTATAAGTAACGTTTAATATTTGTTTTTAATTGTGATACTAAAGATAACCAAATACATGGTCAAAACGTTTATCGATATACATGTAAAGTGAATTAATATATAATTGCATTACTTTGCGTTGGTTTTCATGTTCTTTTATCGATTACAATTTTGACTTGTTTAGAAGCCGTTATTTGAAGAGTTATAATTTTTCATAATTTTTTGTTTGAAACAGATATTGTTAATTCTAGATATATATTCTTAATTCCTTTTAATTCGTATAATCTGTTAGTGTTTAATACTGAAAATTAGAAAAGTTTGATGATATAAATATTACGTACCACATTTTTTCTCATGGATAATAGGTATCCATTGGCGCACAGCTCTAATTACATCCTTTCATGATAGATTCGGCTTTTCAATAATAAAATTTTTAATAACATTTAACAAATTGTAGTTTTAGCTGTATTTTTTTTTTAATATTATATAATGTTGTATTTTTCTTTTAAATAAAATGTAATAGAATTTTAATTGAAAGTTGATTAAAAAGATAAGCAATAGGAAAAAAAGCTCCGAATAATATTGCTCATAATATTTTTCATAAAAAAACTTCAATTATAGGCTAAATGAAACAGTTAATTTTAATTTATTGTTAAAAATATTGCAATAGAAAATTATCTAAGGCAAAAACAAATTTCTGTAAAATTCTTAAATCTATTATTCGTACGTTAATTATGCGGTATTAATAATATAGAATCTAAACTAAAATAATATTTTGTTCTTTTTTTATTTATAACCTACCTATTATTATATTTAATAAATGCTAATTCTTCAAAATATATTAAAAAATAACATCAGCGCGCAGAAGTGACAGTAAAAATATTTTGACAGTATAAAATTAAGTTTTAACTGATAAAGACGAAAAAAAGTTATATTTATAATGAAATTATAAATTATATTGCCCCTTCCCGTACACTTTGCAATATTTTTTAATAAAAACAGAAAATTATTCGACTTTTTTAAAGAATTAAATAATTGACGATCTCTTGTAACAAATAATTGTATATATAATGCCCTGCCATATATCGGATTTAAATAATCAGTATTGTTTATTCCCAGCAAATTAAAACGTAATATAACTTAGGAAGCACATAGAAAAAACAATGATATATTTTGATGATATAATTATGGAGACGATATGTGTCATATAATTTTGAGAATACTTTAGAAAAACGAAGATATATTTGTTATGTTATATAATAAAAATTATTTAAAGTAACATATATGTCTTAAAATACAATTATATGATTTTTCAACAATTTAACAAATATCATGCGATTGATACGTATAAGATATATTCTAAAGATATGTTGAATTTATTTAATTTAGCCATTAGGGAGAAGTTACAGTATTTCGAGAAAATGCTTAACGGTTTTTTTTTGTCATTTTATCCTTGTTTTACATCTAATAAACAATATAAATGGAATGATACAAATAGCTTTAATAATATCAAACACTGCCCTGCAGATTACTCACGATAAGTTCAAAATTGAATGTCATATACACATGACGCTATATTATTTTATTTCTTTTCATGCACTTTTTACTCATATAGCGTCAATTTTTATTACTATTGTATCTATTTGTATATATATTGTAAATACATATAGAAATATATAAAAAAAAGATTCTATCACGTTGCAATAATATATTAGATATTGATATATTCCTGATATAGAAATGATATATTCAAAATTGCTGATATAGAGTTGTATGTTATATTTACAAGTATCTATATTATATTTATCATTACAAATAATATTCCTGACATTTGTGTAATATTATATCTACATCTACATCTACATCTAAGTTACATGTGTAGTTTGCTGGGTTGATACATATCAGTATGTGTATATAAATATAAAAGTTTATATTTGTTTTTTTTTAGAACAAATATAAACTTTTATATTTATGTATGTTATTGTAATTTGTTTCTATATAGATGTGACGAAAATGATATCTACTGAAGTTCTTCAGTATATTTCTTCAGTATACTTCTATTGGATTGGCTTTATCAATGCTAGATTTTATAAAGAAATTTGATCGATTTATTTTATCCATGTTATCATCAATAATGATATTGAAAATTTCTATCCTATCAATGTTTAATAAAAATCTTTTACAAGAATTTTTTGTACACTATATCGCACTTTATGTGAAACATTATTTCTTGTGTGTGTGTGTGTGTGAGATTATAAAAATAAATTAATACATCTCCAATAACACATAAGTATACAAACAATGATCTCTGAAATCTTAATAATTGAATATAATGTACAGGTTTGGCCATAACTACATAAAACATCCCCAATTAATATAAGTTCTATGTTTAAAATAAATAAAAAGAGTTTTATTAAAAAATAATATTTATTTTAACAATTTTAATATTTTTTGTTAATTCTTTAGATTTTATTACTGCCTTTTCCCCCAAAAAATGCATTAAATTAAAGATATTTTATATTTTTTATCAAGATTATATTGGGTCATCTAAAAAGTATCCGCGGTTTTTGTCACTAGATGGTGTTGATGGTCATATATCGGGCAACACTAATCCGATTGTGTCAAACGAACGCGCGTCTGAAAGATGACATTTTAGATTACATTTTTTGTAAACAAAGTTTGGTGATTCATCAATCGTGTCAAAAGTTATATTGGTTTGAAAAAGTGAAATATCCGAAGAAATACGCTATGTGATGCTTTTTTACTACAAAAAAGGCAAAAACACAGCACAAACATGCAGACAAATTTGTGAAGTTTACGGCGCGGATGCTATAAGTGAACGCAGGACGCAGGAGGGATTTGTTCGATTTCGTTCTGCTGGAAATTTTGATATCAAAAATCGATCTCGCTCTAGTTGGCCAGTCACTGAAAAAGTCGATGAAATTTTGCAACTGGTCAAGCAAGGCCATGTGAGCTGTCAGGAGATAGCCAATGCACTAAGAATCAACCATATGACAGTTTGGAATCATTTGAAAAAGGCTGGCTACGCAAAGAAACTCGATGTTTGGGTGTCATATGAATTAACGCAAAGAAATTTAATTGATCGAATTTCCATCAGCGAAACACTACTAAAACAACGAAATCGACCCATTTCTGAAGCAAATCATCACAGGCGATGAAAAATGGGTGAAATACAAGAATATTGTTCGTAAAAGATCATGGAATAAGCGCGGCGAACCACCATAAACGACTTCAAAGCCTGGATTGATGGCAAATAAGGTGATGCTGTGTGTATGGTGGGATTGGAAGGGAGTCGTCCATCATGAGGTGTTACCACATGACCTAATTAATTCAGAGCTCTAGTGTTCACAACTGGATAGATTACAGGAAGTGATTAAGGAAAAACGACCAGAATTGATTAACAGAAAAGGTGTTGTCTTCCATCATGACAACGCCAGACCACACATCTTTGATGACGCGCCAAAAATTGAGGGAGCTTGGTTGGGAAGTTTTGATGCATCCACCGTATAGCCCGGACCTTGCACCGTTTGACTACCATTTGTTTCGATCTCTGCAAAACTCTCTTGATGGAAAAACATTGGCCGACAAAAGAGCTGCCGAAAATCACTTGAAAAAGTTTTTCGCCGATAAACCACAAAAGTTCTACACGGATGGAATTATGAAATTACCCGAAAAATGGCAAAAGGTAGATAATAATGGCCAATATATACTTGATTAAAATTGATTTTCAATAAAGAAAAATTTCATTCAAAAATTGAATAAAAACCGCGGATATTTTTTAGATGATCCAATGTATGGCAAAAATAATTAAATTTATAAATTTGTTGATTCTTTGAGGAATTTTCGAATACATTATAAGTATTATAAAATTTAAGAGATGTTCTGTCATATTTTTCTTCATTTGTCATTTTTTAATTAAAAACATTTTATAAATTTTTGTATTATTCCGTAAAAATATTTGCACTGTAAAAATATATATACTTCAAATACATACAGATACATACAAATGTTATCATATATGTCTTTTATCTCAAATCTTTCATTTCTTTTTACAAAAAAAAACATAAAAAGAGATTTGAAAATGAATTAGCAAATGTAACTCTTGCACAATAAAGACTTATTGTAAATAAAACAAAATCTGTGTTTTGAAATACAATTTAAAACATAAATTTCAATAGGACGCCTATCTTAATTACATCATGCGAACATGAATTTCTTGATAAAACTTTGAAACAGAATTTAGCACTTATTTTAGTCTAATATTTCATGTCAAATTATATTATACATCATATTAATATCGTTACGCATTTCAGAAAGATGTCTTTAAAATTTATACTAGAGTAATAATCGAATATTCTCGCTGTAATAAATCACGTGTAATTTGTAAGAATCACTTGTACGTAGATCGTCCTTGATACAAGTAAGTCAAATCCATCTTCATTCATACTTGTAAAATATCATTATTTTGCGTTAATCTATTTTCATTGCATTGCAGAAATATTGGCAGAATAATGCTAAAGTTGGAAGAATGTCTCGTTATTTAACGAACATGACATTTAATTATCTACATCTATGTCACAAGAATTTAATCTGTTCTCTAATAAACTATTTTTGAAAGAAGAAAACTTTGAAAAATCATTCTTCTATTCTCACAGTTACAGTCCTATAGCTAGAAGAATTCCGTAAGTCTTTTAATTGGATTTATCATGCTTCATCTTGTTGGAAATTGTGTTATCATTAACACTAACAGAGCCATTAATAGCACCATTAGTCTTCGATACTCGTCCCACTTTTGAGTTCAAATAATTATTCACATAAAATGATCCAAACATGTAAGTGAACAAGCCAGCATTGATCATGAGCAGAAATGAAAGTGGCTTGGGGAAATTACAGCTAGTAAATTGCATTTGAAAATTGTGGAAAAATATTATGATAAACTGTACAATCTGCAAGATAGTTAGGTATTTTTTCCACCAAAGATATTTCTGCATATACGGTCCAAAGGCGGCCAACATGTAGTAGGTGTACATAAAGACGTGGATGAAGGAGTTGATGACACCAAGAAAAGTCGGATGACCACCGGCAAAAAACTTCACACCAATCCAGGCACAGATTGGCATCATTGAATGATGGTAAAGATGCAGGAACGTGATCTGTCGATCTTTTTTGCGCAGAACAAAGAACACTGTATCCAGTAGCTCGATCAATTTGCACATAAAGTACAGATAAACACCATTGGCCATCTACAAAAGCATAATTAAATAAAAATCAAACGGATATTATTAATAATATGAACTAATGATACATTGTAATTATCAAGTCAAGTAACATTTTCTTCTGGCAGAACGGAATGTTCTTTCACTTAAAGCGGACTTGAAATCTATACTGAATTTGAGCACCAGTTCACAGTTGTCGCAATAACGGGAATGGTAGGAACCCGTCGCGTTACAAAAATACGAATGTCTCCAAAAGTCTTATTATCACAATTTTCCTATACAACATAGAACATCGCCAAGTAGCAAATATATGTATTGCGTAGCATTAGATCTTTATGTTGTAACATTATCATGATGATTGGAACAGCAATAAAAACATCCGTTTTGAGAAAACTTCCAATGTAACATATCATAGTGTATTAATGCAACGTTATGACATACATGCAGCAATATCACATATTAGGTGTCTACAAATAATTTTAATATACAGATGTAAGAGGAAAGGGAGATGTTTTTTGTACTATAATTTGTAAAATTGCAATATTACTGCAATATCTCTAAACTTTTTCATACTGTATATAAATTACTATTATTATTATTTCCATGCTCTATAAAGTATTATTATTATAGAGTTATTATATTAATAACGTGTTTCAAACTCACCCTCACTGAACTCGGTTTATATGAATAATCGACAGGTTGACAAATAAAATTATATTCGTACAACCAACCAGCCATCAAGCCTTCGTAAACAAGATAAAGGCTTACAAGAACTTGGATAAAATTATAAATTATCAGTGTATTTTTCAAATCGTATGGCTTCTTATCCTTCATATATCTCGGTCCGGCGGAAACACAAAAATATATATATGTCGCTATGATCATTAAAACTGGACCAGGACTAGATACTAGAAACCATTCTTGTGTTCTTGGATCTATAAGCGTTTTAACATATAATGTAACTATGTAACATAATGTAATGTAATTCAGTATAACGTTAACATGTAATATTATTTTTCACAGATGTAATTTTGTTATAAAATCACCATATTTGTTGTCGATCACATCTCTATACCACTCCACAATGTACGACATCTCGTAGTCTGACTTTATAAATCTGCAAAAATGCACATTATAAATTAGTTTTAAAATATCAATTTCATTCCTCAAAAATAAATTTTATATTTCTGTGGAAATTTTTAATATATTTCTCTTCTACAACCTGAGTACTGATTACTGTACATTTTGAAATGTAATCCTAAATGTAAATAATAATATTACAAACTAAATTGATATGCAATTTAATAATAATAAGTTTAAAACACTGCAAAAAATTTATTACAATATTCTTTGCAGTATTTTAAGATATTTATGAACATTATCAAATTACGTATCGATTTAATTTTATAATATTACTGTTTCAGCTTTCATATAAAACTGCGTTTTATAAAGAAAATAATAATATGATCAAAATGCAAATATTTTTTTAAAAAATTCAAGCTACAGAAAAATTTATTTTAATAACATCCTAATAACAATTTACAAGTACTAAAATAAAAAGTACTAATATAAAATAATTTTATAATAATAATAATGATAAAAATATTTATATGGTCTTTTTTTTATAGAGATATAATAAATGTACAATAAAAAAGAAAAACTAGTGGAAAAACATTTGGTATCATATATAAAAATTTAATCATCATATTAATTTAAATTTAAATGAATCATACATAAATTAAAAATTATGAGTTCAAAGAAGCTTATAAAAAGAAAAGACTAAAACCGTTTACTCTATAAACGGTTGCAACATTGTACTGCAAGCTGTTGCAGTTACTCACATTTAAAAAACAAATGACTATGAAAGTGCTATGCATTGTCTTGTCTCTCCTCGACTGTCCTTGGTAGTTCTAATGACATAATATATTTCTCTTCTACAACCTGAGTACTGATTACTGTACATTTTGAAATGTAATCCTAAATGTAAATAATAATATTACAAACTAAATTGATATGCAATTTAATAATAATAAGTTTAAAACACTGCAAAAAATTTATTACAATATTCTTTGCAGTATTTTAAGATATTTATGAACATTATCAAATTACGTATCGATTTAATTTTATAATATTACTGTTTCAGCTTTCATATAAAACTGCGTTTTATAAAGAAAATAATAATATGATCAAAATGCAAATATTTTTTTAAAAAATTCAAGCTACAGAAAAATTTATTTTAATAACATCCTAATAACAATTTACAAGTACTAAAATAAAAAGTACTAATATAAAATAATTTTATAATAATAATAATGATAAAAATATTTATATGGTCTTTTTTTTTATAGAGACTTATAATAAATGTACAATAAAAAAGAAAAACTAGTGGAAAAACATTTGGTATCATATATAAAAATTTAATCATCATATTAATTTAAATTTAAATGAATCATACATAAATTAAAAATTATGAGTTCAAAGAAGCTTATAAAAAGAAAAGACTAAAACCGTTTACTCTATAAACGGTTGCAACATTGTACTGCAAGCTGTTGCAGTTACTCACATTTAAAAAACAAATGACTATGAAAGTGCTATGCATTGTCTTGTCTCTCCTCGACTGTCCTTGGTAGTTCTAATGACAATATAAATTACGCGAGGGATGGTAAAAGGATGGAAATTTGTTTGCGCCTTTTCTTAAATTACAATGGGTAATAACGTCCATAAGATACGTATACGTGTATGCAATTTTAATTAGTATTCAACGAGCAATTTACGTAAGATGTAATTTATTTTAAATGTCTGAAATTTTATAAATAGACCAAAAAATCTTTTCCTTTAACATTAATTACATTTTATTATATATTTTTTATAATTAATTACATTGCTGTTTAATTATATATTTTAATTTTTTTTAAAAATAATTAATTATATTATTTCTTAGAAATAACGTTTAAACTCTTAAAATTTGCTGATAAAGACGTTTAAAGAAGTTTAAATTTAAACTTTAATTTTATTTAATTTAATTTTCACGTATTTTAGATATGACATTATTTAAAAGAAAATTATCAGGTAAATTAGGCAGTATGTAATTATTTTATAATGTTATTATAAAAGTTATATCTATGGCGCAATAATGTTAATGAACGAATATTTAGCAAAAATATAAGAATTAATTTTCTATATTATTGTAATGTAAATTGTTTCTTTTTCAATCTTCATAAACAAAGAAAGCCACTATAGCGAAACAGTGTTATAAGTATTTTCAGATAAGAATTATAATGAAATAAAGTATTACATTGAAAAGAAATTCACGAAATTTGATTAAATATTTGATTAAATATTTGTTTAGATAGTACCGTAATGAGACCATTTACTTACGGTAAATAAATATTTATTCAATTCGAAAAAATTATACTTAAATTTAAATATGACTTTTTTAAATCAAATAAATATTTATTTTTTGTAAGCAAATGGTCTCATTGGTATTATTTAAACAAATATTTATTCAAATTTCGTAAATTTTTGTCCAATGTATAATAATTAAAAGTATTATAAATATCTTAATCAAGAAAAAATTCTGTAAGTTTTTAAAAATAGCCGTCCATTAAAGATTTAATGTCATGTAACCTTCTTGTGGTAACGTCTGTTTAATATTTTGCAATCTATTGAATAATTTTTCACGTATAAAGAAATATATCAGGTAATAGGAGCAGAACTGACAAAATTTGCGACACAATGTTATTGTTATGTGCGATATTTTCAAAAATTTGGAGTTTGTATCTATTATCGGGTCAAAGATATCTAAGTCAAGTTTGTACCAAGGTAAACAAGATTACTATAATAATTGCAGCAAAACTAATAATATTCAAAGAATTAAATAAACTAAAAGCATACTATATACACAAGATCTTTTTAGCAGAAATTATATTTAAGTTTTCTTACATAAACGTTTCGGACTTAATTAGTCCATCTTCAGTGTATTGATCGCATTGATTACAAAATTGATACAACAGATACATAATAGTTTTCTATCTATGTGCTTGTGTCGATGAAGAATGCGTTATAGTAATTTTTCTTATTTGTAATATAGTATATAAGTTTGTAAATTTAATCCATCCACTAAATCGTAATATTGAATATAAATTAAAAAAGTTGTTACCTGATAAACTGATGTATTAATCCAGGAATATAATTTATTTTATTCTCAATAGAGATAAATTAAACGATGATAAAGCTGTCCTGACAAAGATTGAGAGAGAGGTAATCTTTGTGGAACAATATATGTTTTGTACGAAGTAGGGAACCGTAAGAGAGGGAAATATTACAGTATTAAGTGGGAGAATTTCTCTCTAAAATGGGGATATATATATATATATATATTCTATGTTATTCTGTTTACTAATATCAAACTTCTACTTTTCATGTAAATCATTTCAGAAATTATCTTTTTACAATATGAGGGTTCTATGTCAAAAATGGAACTCCTTCCCAATCAAATTCGTGATTTTTTTCCCAATGACCAGATATAATTGATAACAACCCTGCAATTTTTTTTATATCTATATCTAATATGTTCTTTGATTTGTAATTGCCTTTTTGTTTGACCTACATATGTAGCCTCGCAATCAAGACAGTTGATTTTATACATCACTTTAGTATGTATCATTTTTTCAAACTTGTCTTTGCCTATTTTTATATGTCTATTAAATAAGTCAAGTATAAGTTTATAAGCAATATTAAATTCAATTTTTTTAAACATAGTTTTAAATTTCTCTAAAATGTTCTTAATGGATGGTATTGTGAAAAATTTAGGAAAGAGATTATTTTGATTCACATTAGAAACTGTTACTACTTTCTTTCTTAATGGTGATTGGTTTGGTTGTTGATTGAAAATTAAGTGTGTGAATCAACTCATGCACTACATTACAAATAAGAGAAATTATTGTAACACAAAACACACACACACACACACACACACACACACACACACACATTTTTCATCGATACAAACACATAGGTAGAAAATTATATTATGTATCTGTAAGTCATCAATTTTGTAATCATTGCGATCAATATACTGAGGATGGATTAATTAAGTCTAAAAAATTTATCAAATATATGTAAGAAAATTTTAATATCATTTCTGCTAAAAAGACCTTAGATTTATATGCTCTTTGTTTGATTAGGTTGAATTTTATTTTATATAAAAGTCTTAACTTTCTCTGTTGTTGAAACTAATAATGTCTTTCCTTATTACTATTCTCCTTGCACAGATCAAACTTTAGATTAGATTAGACTTCCCCAATGATCGGTTGATCTGCATGTTATATTATTATGTTATTCTTATCAGAGAATTACGATTTATTATTAGTATAATCCGGAATGTCCGGATTATTATTATATTAATATTTTATAAAAACCACATGTTTACGTCAGTAAAGTAAAAAAAGAGATTGAAATATAGATCCTAAGATACTAAAACTAATCTTTTCAACGATTCAAAATCAATCATACGATGTCAATCTCTTGAGAGATTCACAGAAATAATGTTTTATGTAATAATTTGCAATAATAAAATAATTTTTGTCATTTTTATTATCATCTTGATTTTGAATCGTTGAAAAGATTAATTTTACCATCTTAGATCAGTTTTTTTTTACTTTACTGACGTAAAGTAGTTTTTGCAGTTTTTGCGAAAGATTCGGGATTAATATTAATAATGGACCGTAATTCTATGACCACATATTATAATGTTACGTAAGTACCGAATAGTTAAAAAAACGTATCCAATCATTTCATCGTTAATGTAGTTCAATACAAATAATGATAATGACACTTGTGCCATAACAAGCGTGTCGCAAGAATCGACTAGTCATAATGTTGTCTTATGAAATTATTAGTAATAAATCGTCGTTTAACAACGGGCTTTAAAAGTAACGATCAAGATCTTTGAAGGACGACGATAACTGTGGCCAAATTTCTGTGGTTAACCGCTGCTCAAGAGAAAAAAAGGCAATTTCTCTTCGCAGAATACCATATTTTATATTACATACATCATTGCTATTATACCTATGAACGTCCTCGACTTAAATTGATTTAACATTTCTATTTCAATAT